ATTGGGGGGAGGGAGGGAGGGGGGAAGGAGAACCAGGGCCCATTTATGACTTGTGGACTTCAATTCCCAGAATTCCTGAGCCAGCCTGGGAGTTGAGGTCCACCAGTCATAGGGGGCCATAGTTCCCCCTCATGCTAGCTCAGGAATTCTGGGAGTTGAAGTCCCATCAGTCACAAAAGAGCCCAGGTGGCCTACCCCTGCCCAAATGCCTGAATTTTGATCATGTGACCGTGAGGAAAAATATTTAAATATTTAAGCCAGGGGTCTTCAAACTTGGCCCTTTTATGACTGGTGGACTTCAACTCCCAAAATTCCTCACCCAGCATGGGGGAATTATGGGCCCCTCATGACTTGTGGACTTCAACTCCCAGAATTCCTGAGCCAGCATGGCTCAGCTTGGAAACCTCTCCCTTTCCCCTCAGCATGGCTGGCTCAGGAATGCTGGGAGTTGAAGTCCACCAATCATAAAAGAGCCCAGGTTGCCTACCCCTGGCCTAGATGTAAAGAACTTCGTATGAAACAGTATGCGGCTACACAGAAAGTCTCACAGTTTTGCAACTAGATCAGAGGCCCCCAACTTTTGGGGCACCAGGGACTGATTCCGTGGACAGAGGTTTTTCTTGGATCGGAGAGTGCGTGGTTTTGTGTGCTGCCTACATCCCGCGGATGGGGCTTTGGTTGTTTGTGTGGACCAGTTGCTGGCATGCCGCGGCCCGGTAGCAGTCCATGGACCAGGGGTTGGGGACCCTTTTTCTAGTCCAATCCTCTGCTGAAGCAGGAGACTCTAAAGCAGGGGTCCCCAACCTTTTGGGCACCAGGGACCAGTTCCGTGTAGAGAGATTTTCCTGTGGGCCAGAGGGGGGACGTGGTTTTGTGTGCTGCCTGAAACCCACGGATGGAGCTTTGCTTGTTTGTGCAGACTGGTTGCTGGCATGCCGTGGCCCAGGGTTGGGGACCCTTGTTCCAGTCCAATCCCCTGCTCAAGCAGGAGACTCTAAACCACAGGTCCCCAACCTTTTGGGGCCCCAGGGACCGGTTCTGTGGAGAGAGGTTTTCCCCCGGACCGGAGAATGCGTGGTTTTGTGTGCTGCCTGCATCCCGTGGATGGGGCTTTGCTTGTTTGTGCGGACCGGTTGCTGGCATTCCGTGGCACAGTTCTGGTCCACAGACCGAGAGGGGTTGGAGACCCCTGAACTAGAAGACATCTCTGCAGCAGTTCTAGCAGTATGGGTTCTCTTTTCTCTTCTGATATCTCTGTCCCTCCGTCTTTGAATGTTCGGACATTTAAAGGTGAGATGGATAGGACAAGTCTATGTTGCATCCTCTTCTATATTTGAAGGGATGTCACAGAGTCAAGGTGACTCTGAAGCATCTGAAGAAGGCAGGAGAAGAAGCAACGGACGGAAACTCATCAAGGAGAGAAGCAACCTGGAACTAAGGAGAAACTTCCTGACTGGGAGAACAATTAACCAGTGGAACCACCTGCCTCCAGAAGCTGTGAATGCTCCAACACTGGAAGTTTTTAAGAAGGGACTGGACAGCCCTTTGTCTGAAATGGTATAGGGTTTCCTGCCTGAGCTGGAGGTTGGACTAGATGACCTCCAAGGTCCCTTCCAATTCTGTTATTCTATCGTATCAGACTGGCACCAGTGGGTTTAAAATGGAAGAGACAGAATGGCTGATTGCTTTTTCTTTCTACCTTCTGCAACTGTCTCCAGATTTCCTCCTTTCCCTGCTTTTATTGATTCCAGGGAATCAGATATAATTTAAGTGAGCTCCTGCACTGAAATTTCTAGTTGGGAGAGAGAGAGAGAGAGAGAGAGAGAGAGAGAGAGAGAGAGAGAGAGGGAGGGAGGGAGGGAGGGAGGGAGGGAGGGAGGGAGAGGAGGAGGGAGAGATAATGTTTTCAATTCTGCAATTACAGTATATGCCTCTCCTTTTCAAGGAACCTGTTTCTGTTCGGTCATCTCTAAAGAAGGAAAAGAAAGGGAAGGGAAGGGAAGGAAAGGAAGATAAAAGGAAGGGAAGAGAAAGGAAGGGAAGGGAAGGGAAGGAAAGGAAGATAAAGGGAAGGAAAGGAAGGAAAGGGAAGGGAAGAGAAAGGAGCATCCCCCTTCCTCCTTCTCCTACATCAGGGGTGTCAAACTCAATTTCATTGAAGGCCACATCAGCATTGTGGTTGCCCTTGGGGGTGTGTAGCCAGGTGTGTGCGGCCTACTGGGTGGTTGTGTCCAGCTCTACATCGTTGGCATCAAGGGTGCCTATGGGGGCCTGGGCAGAAATGGGACAGATCTGAGGGTCTCTGGCAGAAAGAGGTGGAACCAGGGCAAGCGCCAAGGCATGGTCCACTGGAGGAGCCTCACTATTCCTCTCAGGCCATGCAAGGGGGGGGGGGGGCTTATGGAGCTAAGACTGAATGCCTTTCAGCATAGAGGGCCACCACAAAATTGTACATTGGCTCCCGGCCAGCCTGGGCCAGGGCCAAGGCAGCGGGGGCCGTTCCCTCACTGTTTCCAGGGTGGCTTCGCGGGCCACATGAAACCACTTCGCGGGCCACATTCGGCTTCCGGGCCTTGTGTTTGACATATCTGTTGTAGATGCTTAAGTGAACTGTAAGGATCATGTCTAAAGAAAAGAAGAAACTGGGGAGACATGATAGCAGTATTCCAGTATTTGAGGGGCTGCCACAAAAAAAGAAGAGGGGGTCACGTTATTCTCCACAGGACCAGAGGGACGGACGAGAAACAACGGTTGCAAACTGAGCAAAGACAGAAGCAACCTGGAATTAAGGAGAAACTTCCTGACAGGGGAGGACAATTAACCAGTGGAACAGCTTTTGCTCAATCCCTGGACGTTTTTAAGAAGAGGCTGGACAGTCACTTGTCTGAGATGGTATAGGTTCGCCTGCTCAAGCACGGGGCTGGACTAGAAGACCTCCAAGGTCCCTTCCAGTTCTATTTTATTCTATTCTATTCTATTCTATTCTACTCTAGTCTATTCTAATTTTCCAATATCTATTCTATTCTATTCTATTCTATTCTATTCTATTCTATTCTATTCTATTCTATTCTATTCTATTCTATTCTACTCTACTCTACTCTTGTTCTATTCTATTCTATTCATTTCTATTCTATTCTATTCTATTCTATTCTATTCTATTCTATTCTATTCTATTCTAATTCCAATATCTATTCTATTCTATTCTATTCTATTCTATTCTATTCTATTCTATTCTATTCTATTCCATTCCATTCCATTCTATTCATTCTATTCTATTCCATTCTATTCCTATTCTATTCTATTCTATTCTATTCTATTCTATTCTATTCTATTCTATTCTTTCTATTCTATTCTATAGTATTCTAATATTCCTATTCTATTCTAATTTTCCAATATCTGATCTGTTCTCTCTTCTATTCTATTCTATTCTATTCTATTCTATTCTATTCTATTCTATTCTATTCTAATTTTCCAATATCTATTCTATTCTATTCTATTCTATTCTATTCTATTCTATTCTATTCTATTCTACTCTACTATACTCTATCCTACTCTACTCTACTTACTCTACCCTACCCTACCCTATTCTATTCTATTCTATTCTATTCTATTCTATTCTATTCTATTCTATTCACATCAAAATGGAAGAGAAAGCAGGTGGGTTTGTGTGTGTGTGTATGTGTATGTGTATGTGTGTGTGTGTGTTTTCCTTGTTAACAAAAATGAAAATGAACGGCGTTTAAATGGTCCTTTCAAGAACTGCAGACATTCAAAACTGCTCCGGACATCGACCACCTTCACCAAATATGGAACATTCTTTTTAAAAGTCCATTTTCCCGAAGGAGAGAGGTCCCCCCCCATCCCCCCAAAATGTGAATTTGCAATGGATACCAGGTGCCCTGGCACATGGCCAGCATGCTTTTCTCATAACGTCTAACGGCAGAGTGTCCATGGAGGAAAATTATATGTTACATTTGGCTTTTTTTTTTTTTTAAACAGACCTCCTTGGTCTTTTTTTCTGCCAAGACAAGGGAGAAAATAGAGGAATCATCATCAAAATGTATCCCCTTGCCAAGAAGAGAACAGACATTTCTGATGCCTGTTCCAAATCCACGACTACAATAAATAGAATATATTTACACGGCCCCCGAAGGAGGGGTCCCACTGAAATGAGGAGAAGCAATCATTTCAATAGTGTGATTAAAACACAAGTAGATCTTCGGCACAACAGATGGAGCCAGGATAGATCTTTTCCTGTCTCACCAGCCAGGAAAAAAAAAATGGTTCTATCATCTGAGTCTAGTTTTTTTATCTTCAGGAACTCAAGGCTGCATAGATTCCAGCTCGCCCTCCGAGGTTCCTCACAACGACATTACCCTCCCTTGGAAAAAAGGAAGGAAGGAGAAGGAGAAATAGGGATGGAGTGGGGAAGGAAGGAAGGAAGGAAGGAAGGAAGGAAGGAAGGAAGGAAGGAGAAAGAGAAATAGGGAGGAAGGGAGCGAGGAAGGAAGGAAGAAGGAGAAATAGGGATGGAGTGGGGAAGGAAGGAAGGAAGGAGAAAGAGAAATAGAGAGGAAGGGAGCGAGGAAGGAAGGAAGAAGGAGAAGAAATAGGGATGGAGTGGGGAAGGAAGGAAGGAAGGAAGGAAGGAAGGAAGGAAGGAAGGAAAGAAGGAAGAAAGGAGAAGAACAGAAATAGGGATGGAGTGAGGAAGGAAGGAAGGAAGGAAGGAAGGAAGGAAGGAAGGAAGGAAGGAAGGAAGGAAGGAAGGAAGGAAATGGGAGGGAGGGAGGAAAGAGGAGGAGAATGACTGTGGGGTCCTTGGTGCTCTCTGAGGTTGGTGGTTTTGAATGCAGATGTTTCATTATCAAACTAAGTAACATCCTCACTGCTAGAAGGGAGGGGGGGTTTGTGAAGTGAGAGGAGGAGGAGGGGGTCCTTGGTATTCTCTGAGATGGGTGTCCTTGTTTTATCCAGATATTTTATTGCCCAATGGGTAA